CCATAGGTCAAATGTCGCTTTACATTTTCTTCAGTGTAAACAAAAGGTAAAACATATCATGAAGCCTTCTACAATCTCGTCTGTTAAAATGAATGGAAAACTCAGCATATTTGTGAACATCTTTCAATGAAAAAGTCAACATTCAGAAACTTAACAAAGCTTTACACACTCTGAAGTGGCCCAAACTGAAAAGTTTTCATGCTAATCTGCCAAAATTATTGTGTTCGAAAGCTAGGTTGCAAAGAAAGGAGTCTACAGATGCTTTGATTGATTTGAGGGAGGCTGTTTTGCAAAATGTGCCACCTTGTTTCCTTGTACATGCGTAAAAAGATTTCAGGGAAGACTTCAGTTCTTCGTTATCACAATTTTTATCTTAATGGTGTTTTAAATTTGCTCCCATCCAAACTTCACTTTCATTTGCTCCATCCAAACTTTACTTTCATTTGCTGCAAATGTTATCCCAAAATCTAAACAAATCATATTATGCATTTAGTAAATATAGTTGAACCTGTATTAAGCAGTCATGGGGTGATGATGCGAGAGTTGTATTTTAACACATTTAAAAATTAGTCATAAATTATTAAGTTCTTCTCAACCATCTCCCACCCCAGTCAGAGATAAAGTTTCAAATAAACTCTTTATGGTAAAATTCAGACAAAAATTCTATGGGTTCTAAATAACACCTCTCCTTTAATTCCTTGGACATAGAAGGTGATGGAGATAGCAAATTACCTCTGTGCTTTCTTTTTGTCTTACGCAGTTCCTCAGAGTGCCTTGGACGATGCCTAATGATGAAAATATTTTAATATTAAACATTTGCCCAAAAATTGTTGACCCTTACCAATCAGAACAGCCAGCCTGTTGTGCCAGGGATGACAACATGAATTTAAGTACCAGGCCTGTGATAATAACAGTCATCATATACCAATGAAGATCTAAAGGCATGTTAATATCGCATTAATTTTTATGGAAGCACAGTGCTGTCACCTCCAAACAGCAACTACCACTTGCTCTCCTGGGCAGACTCTGTTTCTGAGTGTGGACTGATATTGTCCTAGGTGTTGAAGTTACTTAGTCCCAATGACTAACCTTTCAAGTCCCAAGGATGATAATATTCAGAGATCCACAAGTGTCAACATCTTAACATGGCACATGTGTGTCACAGACTCAAGCACTCAATAATGCAACTGATTTGAAATGTAGTTGCCAGAACACATTTTAAAGAACCGTGACCACACAAAAGCTTAAGTTTGGTCAAGTCCGTACATGATAAAAGGGTAAACTATTGTAGGTCCCTTGAAGCTACACCAGATTTTCAATCCCCCACTAGTGTCCTCTGGTTGGACATTATAGATGTTTTTTTTTTTAGCGAATCCATGTACAAACCAAAGGCTGTGGAAAATCCCGCATAGTTGTGCAAAATAATACAATAAAAGGGTGATTAATGCTGGTTATCTTCTGCAACTGCATCCGCATTAATCACCACCTTGAAAAATACACATGTCGCAACAAAACTTCTACCAAGCCTAAAAAGGGACCTCATATTTTTAAACAAGTTTTGAAGGCATCCATAATTTGGTAAGTTCTCCCGCTAAGCAGCAAAATTGCCAGACTTGCAAATAAAATTTTCAGTCCAAAGGAAGTCAGTTCATTTTCAACAAAAGATCTTGATATGCAACTGAATAGTCTTTTTTTTGAAGTAAATCCATTGAGGTAATGTCCTAGGCAGGTGAATGGCCTTAAGTCCATTTCATAGTGGAAGTAAAGCTTGATCACAACATTTCCATTATTCCTACAAAGCACAGCAAAATATAAGATAATATGAGAACAAGATGCCACGGGAGATTGCAATGAAACACTTGGCGGGGCAGAGCAGGATAAATCTGTTGAATACATATCCATTGTGTGCCCTGTCACTTATGATGACAGAGATCATCCATGACTCTCTGTTTCCTGTGAAACAATGATGGTCCTTTATGTAATTAGAGAAAATCACATCTCAATGAAGGCGTGAGCAGGATATCACATGCATGTCCGCCTGCCTGCAGGATATGATGATTGTTGCTAACCTAGCAGCATCACTTTCCTTCCTACGTCGTCTTTCTGTTGATAAGTGGTGAGCTGGATTGAGCTCCACTGTCTCATCTTCTGGAAACAATCGGCAAAGAGCTTCCCCCACAGCTGGTTCCACTTCCTAGCAATTTAAACAGGGAAAAACATAAAAAACTGTTCATAGACTCTTTCATAAAATCCAGACAAAGATTGTAGTTATTTGGCTATGAGATGCACCCCACCTTGAGGAAAGTGGCAATTTCAAGTTCCCACCTGAAAAGTTTTTTTAAAATACTTGATTGTGAGATGCACCAAACTTTCTGACTTCAAGAAAGCCCTTATTAATTTGATGATTTCATGGCCTGGTAAATTTAACAAATCAACAATGGTTTAGCATGTTGTGTACTCTTATTGACAAAAAATTTGTCATCATAGTGGTAAAAAAAGGTTGTGGACTCACAAGGTGCAGCCCAGTAAGTCCACAACAAATTTTGACCACTGTGATGACAAATATTGTTGCCTTAAAAAGTACAGACCACGCTAACTTCTATCAATTTGTTTTTAACCACAATAACAGCAAATAAAATGATTCTTTCAGTACCTGACCATTTTGACACTTTGACACGAGCAGTGCTGTTTAAACTCTTATTGACGACAGCAAATTGGCCAATCAGATTGACACATAATTGCCAATTGAGGTAAAATAAAAATATTATTTAAACTTCTTAACTGCCAACCCCACAGAGAATTCATCTCACTCCCAAACAATATTTTAAGGGCCAGTTACCTGTCCATCACGGCAAATTTTCACCTCTTTGTTGTCATTCCAAGGATTTCTTAAGTGCAGGCACTTACTGAACCAAAGCTCCCTTCTACAAACAAGAATGCCACTGAGTTGATCATAAAATCAAACCATGTGAGGAATTCTAATAACAGGTCACCAAACATGTACACACTTCTGGGTACAATAAACTACAACACATAAATTGCATAGGAAGAAGATATGACAACTCATGAAAAAACGAAAAAAAAACATGGGAAAGAAAAAGGATGAAGGGGTGCTGAAAAACAGGACTATGACAAAAGTGTGAACATATTCAGTAGAGAGCCCTGAGGTGCCTGAACAATGTTCATGTCTGGGTTCAGAGCTGCCAAACAGACTCCTAGTCTGAAAGGGGCACCAGAACAAAATTTGATTTTATTGGGACTTCAACTATTACATGACACTTTACAGGTAACTCCTGTTGCATCTAGAGAAGAAGCACAGTTCAAACCATCACATGCATATTAATGTTACTATGATGAGTACAGTTCTTTGTTCAAAATATTTACCTGTTGAGCCACTCCAATTTAAATACTCCTCCTAATGCTTTGGCACTCATTCCAGGAGGCAACACCCAAGGCATTGGCTGGCCTCCATGCTTGGCTTCTGATGCCAGTCTAGCAAACCCCTGGAACTTTCCACTTTCTTTTACAGAAAATATCAAAATGACATTTTTATATCTCTGAAAGAAAATCAAGTATGAAAACAACTGATGAGCATTCAACTGATGAGTAATCATGAAAGCAGGTCCTCCTTTCTTTCTACATCCACAATGTTCATTTACAAATAAAATAAAATACAATTTACACACTAGTTTATTCATTATGTTGAGAAAAAAGGAAAGGAAAGTTAAAAAACATCTTGAAAAGGTAAGCCACAACAGACTACATATAATCCATCAAACTAATTTGCCTTGGAGAACTGTGTTCCTCAGAAGTCTAAGTACTTTGAGTACTTATAATCACTACTCTCTCAAAATTGGAAAAAGGAAGGCAGAGGGATAAGTATGCTGGCCCTAGTTTTTCAAAGAAGAAGCAAATAGCTATCTACCAAATAGTAATCTACGAGAAAAAGTTTGCAAAACAAAGCACTCCTTTTCTTACAGTTCCCTTGACTCAGATGTTGGTAAGCTGTTGATCATTCTGTTGTTGAGTTTAGAAGAATGGCAAAAGTCATACTTGTTTTATACCAAAAGGTGTCCCAAGATGGAAACAGCCTAACAACATAGGGCCAGCAAAACCAATGGAAACAGTGAACTTAATGGACATGCTATTTTTCAGAATTTTGACCCAGAATGGTAGAATTACATCGTAAGCATTTCATACCTAGAAAGTCAAAGTTCCTTAGAATTACAGTATTTACCCATGTATAACATGTATATAATAAGCAGCCCTGCTTTTAACCAAATTTTCAGAGAGAAAAGTTTTCACTGCAAAAAAAGACAAGTCATATCTTTATACAATTATTTATTCAGATAACAACAACATGGCATTTTCAAGATCATTTAAACATTAATATCTTTTGCTTATTAGTTAATTATGAATGATATCAAAGCTCAACAAAACCCTACATTGTATTTACAAACTATGAACAGTATTGAAATTTCCAGGCAAGGTTATATCACAAAAATAAACAGTCTGGTACATAATGCAAACTTACAGCATCATGGTTCTTATGCAGAGAAACCTTTGAATTCTGACACAGAGTCTGACTGAAAAAGTTTTAGTACAGAAGAATCACCAAGTTCATAGGTGTCCTCAGTTGAAGGGAAGACTAAATCGTCTCCTGAACCATCTTAATCATTTGTTATGCCACGCTTTCAAAATGATCCAACAACCATGTCAGATGAAATTTTTACCATGCCTGTGAAATCCACCAACAGATTTATTCTTCTGAAGGCTTCCTTAGTTACCCAGTTGGTGTAAACTTGTGGATTCCATCAGCTAACCACTCCTTCCATCTTTTTCTTACTCCACCTTAGAAAGGTTTGTTTGAGGAAACATCCACTGGCTGGAGAAGTGAAGTCAACCCTCCAAGAGTAACAGCAAAATAAGTGTTTTCTCCTTTAAAAGATGCTTTCACCTGATGAGTCACATGGAAGGCTACACCAGTGTGTTTTTACCAAGCTTTCTAGACCCACAGTTTCATTTGCTCTGAATATATACAGCCCTTCTCCTGGGCTGAAACAACAACCCTGTGTCTATTGTTGATCTTTGGAACAATTCTTCGTTTGGAGATAACCACTGGCTTTCTCTTCATACTCCACAGCACGCCAGTACAACCATGACAAAATTCTTCTTGCTTTCTGTGGTAAGAATTTTGATAGTTTTCATTCCCATGCTGTGGATTGTGTGATTCAGTGGCATGTCAAAAGTAGGCAGAGTTTCGTTCATGTTTGCAATTAGGTACAGTGGATATTTGTTCTCCTTACACCAGTTTGCCACCAAATGATGGAAACTTACTACCTTCTCCTCACAATTGTCCCAAGTGTTGTTTTCTGCCAAAGTGAGAAATTGTTCCTCTTCATGAAAGCCTGGCACCAATAACTCCCAGCCTTAAAAAACTCCTTCAGGAACTTGGTATTTCTCATCTTTGACTAGCTTGAGTGCTTTCAGTCGCACCACGGAAGGAAGAATAGCTGGGCTGTCATTTCTTTTCTCTGTCATCCAGGCCAACCAATTAATTTCCAACTTTCACCATGTAGCTTTCTTGCCACAGTTCACCTGTTTGAGCCACTGCTTCTTCCCCAAGTTCTCCACAGCCTGACCTAGCATTCCAAGTCTCCAAATTCTGGTTTGGCAGCATGGTTTCCATTTTGCAATGCAAACTGCATAATTCTGAGCTTTTCCAAAGCAGTGTAGCTTTGACATTTAGCAGGGGTAAGTTTCATTGCCTTGTCGAATTTCTGATTGCTTGTGATTACAATGAAATGGTGTGATCATGTTTATCTTGACAAACCATTTCTTACATACTCTACAAAATTTATCATTGGGTTCGAATCAAAAATGTTTCATTGGTAGATTATCTAACTTAAGCTAATAAAGACCAATTACCACCAAACTTTTGTTACTTCAATTGTTTTGTTTTAACATGTGCAAATAATGGCACAAAAGAATAGAATGTGAAAAAGAATAGAATCTGTGCATAACACAAACCGCAGTTTTGATGGTCAGTTTTGAAGAAATTAAGTGCTCAATATACTCGGGTAAATATGGTACATGATACTGTTTTCAAGATAATGCTTCATGAAGAACTAAATCTTACCTTAAAGTGCGCATTTAGTTTCTTCTCATTAGCCTTTGGAGTTGACCAAACACCCTAAAAAAAAATAACATATCCAAATTATAGAAATCAAGTGTCTTATTGTTGAAACTTCTCTCAATCTTATTTTAACCTTGAAGAAATGGAGTCCAAAAAAGCAATTTTGCTCAGAAACTGAGCCATAATGCTGCCATCTTGAATATGCCGCCATTTTATGTGACCTCCCTGACCTCAACCTTTCCAACTGCTGTAGAGCCACATCACTTCAAACCAGAAAGTGTTCAAGGGCAAAGACATCATATGGTTAAGAAACATTTTAGGAGCTGAAACTTTGGTGAGTGTTCTACATTTGTATTACCTTTTTGTTGGCGAAAAGAAAAAAATTGTGCCTATTTTGGACCCTGCTTCTCCCTTGATTAATATCTTTAGCCCTTCCACTAATTAACTCTTAATTTTTTTGATGATTTTTTTCCTTAATAACTCATACCTTACTTGTCTTTGTCGAATGAAAGAGTTATCAATAAAAACATACTCAAGAGCAGTGACCCAACTTATGACCAGGGCAGCACAGAAGGCTTTTTGGGTACATGTCCTTGATAAATACTACTTCATTACATACATGTATATAACTAGTTTCCACAGTAAACTGGTTAAAATGCACACAGTGATGTTCCTCTGCCATTCCTCTATCCTAATTTCTAGTTACTTGTTTCTCAATCCTAGTAACTAAAACCTTTCCCCGTAATACGTATACTAAGTTCTTTCAAGTCATTTAAGGTTCATATACATATTTCAGGTTTAACTGCTTTTAAACTAACCAGTAAAAATCTATCCTCAGTTGATTTTTGGTGAGAATCAGCTGCAAGCTGGACTTACCTTGGCTTTAGACAAAGCTACATTCTCATGATTGTTACTTTTCATCACAAAGTATCTAGCTTCTTCGAAGAATTCATCTAAATTGAATGTTTTCTTTGATTTAGATGACGATGCCTTTGCCACTTTACTCTTGATGTGAAGCTGACTATCACCTAAGGAGTTCTCACTTTCACCACTTGATTTAGTTCCTTCCACAGGAGATGATGCTTTTCTTTTCCTCCTCTTTACTTTCTTTCCTTCTTGCTCATCTTGTTCTTTACCACTCAGATTTTCTAAACAAATACAAGACTTCATTAAACCACTCGTTTGACTGACAAAAACACATTAACCTGCTACTACTGACTAATATTAGAATAATAGCGTATTATTTGGGCAATTACCACAGTTTCCATTTTTAACAAACTACCACGCATGAAAGGAATAATGGAAGTTCCAAAAGTTCCTAAAATGCCTATGAACACAGTTGAAGAATTTGTTCACTTAAAACTCTACTAAATTGAGTGTGTAACCATAAGGACCCAGGATCACATTGATGCACTGTACATGCACCTTTGTTTCTGATTTCAATAAAGTGAGATACATTATACTATGACCTGCAGATGATGTAAAAGACTGAAATGATACTCGCAGGCAAGCTACAACATACCTGCACATTAAGAATTTGCAGTAAAAAGGCCTGAAAAAGTTTCAGGGATTGACATTATTCCAACCCAAGCCTCCCAGATACCATTTGGGAAATTCTACCCACTGAAATTACATGTGGCTTCATAGCACTGGGGGTAGAACCCAACTACTATCTCCCAGGCATTAGTTCTAATCCTGTCAAATCCTAAAAATTATTCAGGCTTCTTTTCTACAATTTCTTTTAATTGCAGCTTACTGTGAGGATACCTTTTTGGTTAATTCTGACTTCCTTTGTACAACACAAATCTGTATAATTATGCTCCATGTAAAATTCCCATGACTGATTGAAAATAAATTTCTGATTGGATTTAAGCTCAATATTTCTATACTTGCAATCAAGCTTTGTAAAATGGTTTACCAAATGTAATTAAATTTATATACTTGCTTTTTAAAAATATGACATTCACACAAAAAATTTGATATGTATAAAGAGCATCACAAAATAGTAGGTAACAGTACAAGCCTTCCTCCATCTACTGCTTACCTAAAATACACTTTTTATTGTTACCTAAGAGCAGTATTGTGAATTGAAGTGAAGCAACAAACTGCTAAGCTGTGCTAAATTTGACACTTAACAAAAATCAAGCAATGATTAAAAACCTGATTCTGATTTGGAAGAACCTGAAGAGGAAGGTGACACTGAACCTCCCTCTTCTTCACTAAAATCTTCTTCTCCACTGTCATCACTTCCACCAGCATCTTCACTTGCCTCCTCCAGGTCATCAATAACTTCCATATCTTCAGTAGCCTCATATTTACTGACTGTGTCTGTCTCTTCAGCTAAAGCTGTTTTGCTTTCTACCAATGGCTCTGAATCTACAGCATCTACACCTATGACTGCTGTCAAAGAGCAATGCGGAAAAAAAGGCCTCTTTAAATTTCAGCTCAGGTGAGAAATGCAAGTAAACCAGTATTCTTCGATTCAGTTGGATCAACACATGACCCTGATGTTGTATTTGGCTTGGCTTAGGTTAACATTTCATTTCATTTTACTTGAAGAAAATGACATAATCAAAAGTGTGTGTTTGCATTTTTTTTGGTAACTTTAAGCTCTCAATGCTCAACTAGTTCAATGGAAGTTCAAAAGCAGGAAGCTGTACATAGTACAACACAAATGTGAAAATTTTTCAAATTTAGATGCTACAAGCCAAATCTTTCTCCATCTGTATGAGCCAAATCCCCCTCTTCTCTGTCAAGTTTCTCCTCAGAGTTGCTCAATAACATTTACACTGTTATGTGATGATCACATGCTTACAGCGTTTTTATCCCACTTCCATCTGAAAAGCGACCTTTATCAGTTTTCCTCAAAACAATATAATTCAGAATGCACTTCATGTTACCACAAGTGTTTTTGAATGATAGAAATTAAAGATAACTGGCAGTGAGTTCAACAAGTTTTTTTTCATCTCAGAAGTGACAACTCAAGGCATTAAGAAGCCTTACATACATGATACTTAATCACTGTGGTTTGTGTGGGATTTGCTGTTTGGTTGCTCATAGTTAGGCAAAATGAATGTTACATGAAAAAATTGCACTGAGTGGTAAAACTGTGCGATGATTTCTCCATACCTTCATTGACTCAAATCTTTCTGTCTTTTGCAAACATAATCTCATTAAAGAAATATTTGAATACCATGAATAGATATATGTAGCACAGAAGAGCTGTCATACTTTGTTTTGCCTCTGGACTATCATCAGGTCCAAACTCAGCTATTTCATTCTCCTTTGCCTCTTCCTTATTCATCCTCTCTATGGGTTCATCAATGATATCCAGAACCTAAAATAACAAGGTGTGATATTTAATTACTGATACTTGCTTTGACATCACTACAACAGGTCTGAGCAAGGTGCAACATTTTGGCCATCCCAAACAGCAATGAAAATTATCCCTTAAAATCAGCCAAGGAAATACAAGTAATTCATCCCATAATAAATGCATTTGTGGATTTTTAAAACATATCGCCATACATGTGGTTTATTTTTTGTACCTAACATTCAATGCTATTTTTGGTTTTTAAGAGTAACAGCTAAAAGTGCAATGCTTTAGAAATGTCTTTTTCACACAGAGCTGCAAATGCTATCTTTCAGTCGCGATAATAAACAAGATTGAGAGTGAACATAAAGGGAGTGACCCAGCCAGGCAAAGCTTATCCTGCTCTCTTCAGCACTAGGGTAGTGCCTGCTAATAGGGATTAAAATTTCCTACATTTTGAAGAAAACATACAGCTTTGAGCAGATCAAGTGAGGTTTTAAAGGAATTACTGCATTTTAAATAACATGTGTCTGCGGCTATCCATTTTCTGCAATCACTTGTTTCCTGGCTTTTTGCCAGAATTAAATGTCTAAATATAAAAACCTACCTAACCCCTCAACTCCAAGAAGTGATCATCATGTAACATTGCCCTGTTATATTCACATATCATCCCGCGAAAAAGTAACAAGAATGCCCAATTTATCAGGGAGAAGTTGATATCTTGATCTAACACCAAATTATCATAACTGATTTACAAAGAAAATCAACAATCAAATCTGGGAGTTAAGGGGTTTATTCCTATGCACTGTTAACTTCCTTAAAGTGTCCCTGAGATTAAAATCTTCATACATCATTTTTTTCCATTTTCGTGTTCAGTGCGTCTCCTTCACCTACTCTGCCAAAATTCAGTTTAGACCGAGCACGAGAAATATGTAAATGCCGTTAAATTCACGATTTTGCGTCCGCCATTAGTTGATCATGTTCCGGAAGTTGATCGCAGGACTCAGAGGAAGTGATGTCAAAGGCTCTACGCGAAAATTTCACATGGCAAAATGTCAAGCAAACATAACAGAGTGCTTTACTCTATTCTAGCTTACAAAAACTAAACAAAAATGACTGGGCATCGATGCATAATTCAAAGCTGAAGTAATCGTGCAGACCATGCTGCAGGTATTTCTCTGCATTGGAGCCTTGAAAATAGATCAGAGTGAGAAAAGCGATTTGTGCGACCTCGCCGAGTAAACTTGAATCCTACAGAAATATTTGTGATCTACTCCAAACACTTCTCGGAGGACTGTTTCGAGAGATCTGTGTACTTTGAACAGAGTTAATTAACTCTGCTTTGAAGGATCTAGGTGAAGAGTTCTACTGGGTTCAGTGACTACTGTTCAAGAAGAGAATGGACAAGAAAAACCGTCCTCAGTACGATCTCGATGCCGGAAAGTGAAGTCTATGAACCTCCACGGATTTTGTCACCTTTACATGTGAGCTGATCAATATCCACCTATAACATCTCTCTGGCAGAATACCTTACACAAAGGAAAGTATTCGGTGAACATTGTAAATAAGAATGATAAAATAGCCAAATTGAGGATTGAGATTTCTGACCTCAAAGAGCTCACTTTTATACAAAAGAGATGAAAAATATAATTGTGTGCTCTGATTCTAAAAAAAGCTGGCTTTAATATCAGTGAAAGCAGAACAAACAGCTTAAGACACAGAGTATACAAACACTTTAAAATGTAGGCTTGCAGCCAAAATCCAAGAAAATGAAAATTTCATTAAAAACCTGTCAAACTATCAACCATCTGACAGCCAAGTCAGCATGCTATGAAAGGGTCTCAAATTCATCCCGATGCCCGTGACAAACAAATTTAAAATCAGGCCAACTTTTGCGAGATTTATTTGCAAGACGAATGCGCCTCCGTTACACCTTTCACGGACAAAACAAAGAACCACTTCTGTTTCATATCAAACTGAATGCCACTGGTTCAGTCTTCTATCACCCTTCAGAGCTACTTGGGAAATTGTCATAACGCTACCTGCAGACTGCATCTAAGCCAAAAAATACTTTGTAACGCAATGAGGTCACTGACAGCTCTAAAAGAGTTGAAACAAACTCTGCTTTAAACCTCACAGAAGCAACACAACAATAGTAATCATGAATAAGACAGAAAAAACAAAAGAGGCCAAAGTGCAACTCAAGAACAGAGCTCACTTCAAACCTCTCAAAGCACCGATAGTAAAAAACAGCAGGAAAGGGTTAATGAGTCATTGACCAAATGCACCAGGGAAAACACATTGATGGCTTAGAAATGGCTTTCACAAACTCCCAATATCCGCCTTCGGATACACAATTAGCCATTGCTGAAAACTATTTTTACTAATCACCCCATCATTTCTCACAAAAAAGGAAAATCCCTTACGACTAGCAAAAATACAGTTCGAAGGCGATAAAGCTATGGGACCACAAAAGCCACATGGGGAGTCAGTGCCGTTCTCTGTTTATCTTTTTTCGCATGGCGAAAATTCATCCTTTGTCGGCGCAAAACTATCCACAGAAGCTTCAGATGATTTCTGGGACAATTCATCGTCTGAAGAAGTCGACATTTCCTGACTGACAACAAAGCAGTTCTCAAAAAAGTAACAMGTGTGATTCTCTGTGTAGCGAACAAAGAGAGTTGTGACAAAGCAAAGCATAAGTTTGTTGAGCCTTTGAAGTCATAATGACGTCTTTGCGGGCTCGGCTGGAACATGTTTTCAGCAATGGCGGATGATTTTTGGACGACTCTGAAGCGGTAAAAATTGGTCATCGAAGGTTTGTTTTGAGTTTTTAATGGCAAAATGGGTCTTAACTTGACCCAATTCAACATTGTGTAAACAATTTAGGCCAAAATAAAATGGTCAATTTTCATCTCAGGGGCACTTTAAACAGCATATCACAAACCTCAACTTTGTTTCCAAGTTCTTCTTGCTCTGTTTGGATGGTTTGTATTTGCTCTTTTCCCTTGACACTCTTGCTGACTTTATTCTTCTTCAACTTTGTCTGTGTAGCAGACTTCTTCTGCATTAAGTTGCTCTTGGTTTCAACACCCTCTTTCCCATTTCTTTTCACTCCATCGTTAATCTGCTTCTGGCTGCTCTTTCCACTTAAATTACTAGATGTTTCTTGAACTTTGCTGCTTTTAGTTTCAGTGGGAGTGCTTTGAACACTGTGTTTTGCTACTTTCTTGGCTGGGCTTGCTATGCTGGTCTTCTCTTCTGATTCAGGTTTGACTTTCTCTTTAGACACCTTACTCTGTCCTTTATTATTCTCAGCTGTTTTCTTAACAATGTCCTTCTTTGCCTCTTTTTTCCCTGCTTCCTTTCTTGGACCCTCCTTCTTAACAAATTTTGAGGCATCTTTTGCTTTTGAGCTCATCAACTTCTTTGTTAGATTCTCTGATTTTTTCATTTCCTTTTCCTTTTCAACAATTTCTTTGGTTTCGGAAATTGCTGCATTCTGTTCTTCTTTTTTCTTTATCTCTTGGTCTCCAGTTTTACTATCACCTTCATTTTTGGAACCTTTCATATCCTTCTGTTTGTTTTTAGTAGTGTCTTTTTCCTTTCCCTTTTCCTTGCTTGAATTTTCATTTTCAAGCTGACCTGTGGTTTTGTCCTTCTCCTTCAGCTTCACTTTACTTTCTTTTGGAACATCTTTTCTAGGACGTTGTTTTTCTTCCTTTTCTTTCATTGGTAACTTAACCTTGTCGCTGTCACCTGTCTTGGGAGATTCTGACCCAGATGCAATGGTTTTAGAAGCCTTACTGTTTTTGGTTAGAGTCTGGCTTGATATTTTCAAGGTCTGAAGAGAGGTACTGTTGTTTTCTTTGGTTTGAAGTTTTGGACTGTCCAAATGTCTCTTTTTAGAAACATCACTCTTGTCACCACTAGTTGCTCTTCGTTTTCTGCTTGGTACTGAACAAAGAAGACAAAAGTGAAACAAGTTTTTGGGAAAATCACATTATGAAGTTAATCAAAACCAAAGCTATCCAGATTACTTTTGACAATTTGCTGAAAATTTCTGCTTCCTAAATAAATATTAAGGTCCTAGTTTCAATTTCATAACTTTTTGTTTCAGGTCACAATAATGAATATGACAGACAAAGGAAAACAAGAATTAAACTGGTTTAAAAATGATCTAAGCTAAACAAAATTTGAACCATACTACTGTAAATTCATGTATAAGCAGCACCCTCAGCTTTCAAGCATCATTTTGGAAAAAAAAAAAAACCTCCAAAAAACAAAAGTTGGTTTTGTTTGCAGATGTTCACAGTAACCTTGAAGAAATCTAATGTTGCGTATTTGCTATGACATCAAACTCTGAAAATACCTTTTCAAAGCTTCTCTTTAATCAATGCCCCCATTCCCTGTGAATGACAACAGTTGTCTTCACCGCTAAAGCTCACAGCTCAAATGAAAATGATGGAATTTGAACAAAAATAAAGTGCAATAGAACAATGAAAGATGTTTGCTTGGTAACCATACAGTCATTTGACAAGGGAAGTCTTGACACTAGATAAAGCAATGGTCTTAAGTATAAGACACACCTGCCATTTTTGGAAAAAGGTGTGGCTTATACACAAGTCTTTACAGTATTTTCATCCTCTGATACTGAGAGTTCAGCAGAGGGTACAAGTAATATAAGGAAAGTGAACAATCTTGCCTTACCACTTGTCTTTGCTGGAGTGTCCAGTTCAGCAGCAAACTCATCATTTGCTGGTTCCCCAAGTATATCATCCAGAACATTTAGCTCCACTCCATCCAAACCTTTTCAAATTTCAGAATATACAAATGCATGTTATAAACAAACTCAAACTTAATAGAACACCCCAGACCACCCATGTCATACCAATGACATGGGTAGTTTGGGGTTGATCCACAAGGATCACTGAATCCACCAGCATTAGACTTTTGTGAATAAATGTTACATCTAAGGTGCAGGAAATTGCTCAGCTAAAGCATTCTCTGCCTCAAGTGCGATGAAGAGAACTACATGAACATGCCATAAATATTTCCTTAGCCTTGGCTTGAAATTAATCCATCTTTCAAAAATCCAGAAATAATGGAACACCTTACAGGCTGTCACTAAGGGGTAGAAGCTAAGGATTTCCCTCCACTTATAAGAGCCTGAGCCCCAGCGACTTCAATACAGGACTAAAACTTTGGAAAGTGAAAATACGTGGTTGATAAATAATTTTCAACAATTTTCTAATTCAAGAATTCTTATTCATCCTTGTAAGAGAGCAGTTTTGAAACTCAAGAGTTTGTTTAAAAACAAATGTCATCTTCTTTCAAAACATGCATACAAATAAAACCAATTCTCAGAATAAAAAAAAGACAACGGAAGCCGGAAAACTAAAGTCTGCTCTAGTTGGTTAAGAATCACTAATCACATTTTAGTAAATTACGGAGTTAATTTAAATTAACAAGTACTGCACCTTCTATTTTAAGAAGTACACTCTTCGTTTCTATATCAAAAGTTAAGTTACTTTAAGACAAACAACGGAAAAGAGAGATTCACCAGCACTAGTCTCAACGCGAATTTTGTCTAGGATCAGAAGAATAACCTCACACGCCATTCATTCTACATGGCGATCGCTGCATCGCAAGCCACAGAAATTCAGTCAGAGATCATATCTTAAAAACACCTTTTTAAGCATAAAACATGATAGGTAAAGAATCCTTGAAAAGGTCAGAAAATGCATGAAATTCAGGCCATGAAAACTGGATATGATACCATGTGCATAGTGTATTTTTCCTCACTCATCCATTGACTTAGAAAACAAACAACTTACTGGTTTCCAACTCGTCTGGAGATGAAAGTTCTCCTTCTTCGGCCATTAAAGCAATCCAAACTTTCACTTCTAGGTTGTTTAGCAAAATAAACACAGTAATTCAGTAAACAACCCAAGAAAGAAATGTATTCCACCAACGAATCCTCCTTATCCTTCGACGTCGCAGGATTATTATGGGATTAGCCGTGCAAGAGCCCTTGTCCCAATCGGTCAGGATACCTAAAAGGAAACTGGAACGAGATTCCAACTTCACCTCGGTGCTTTATTTTAGTAAAACAAACGAAGTTAACAAAACTCCTATCAGTCTCTGAGCTACTTAACCTCGGAATAGTTTACCTTTTCGGGAATGAAACGGCTAAGGTGATCCTGCTTTTTATCACTGGGAAACTTTTGAAATGGGGATTATTGTGTCCAAAGAGAATCGAAATCGTACCAAGAAAGTTCAGCAAACTGCAGCTGTCATGTCAGCTTTGAAGTTAGCGTCTAAAGAGTCTAAAGAAAAAAACAACCCAACCGCCAACCAAGCACAGGCTAGTCAAACAAGTCAGATTTTGCAAGAAACGAAACATGATAAGGTGGGTGATGAACATCTAGACTTCGACAGGGAGCACACAGCGAACTTGAATTATGATACGTCTTCTATTACATATGGTCTCCCAGAGTTAGACGGGGCAGACTATCATGCTTACAGCAGTGGAACTACAGGATACTGGGACAAAAGTGACAAGGCTGTTGTCAGTATTCCTTCCTTTGGAGCTTGGAAACGCAGGGTATGTAGCAGCTAGATTGCATGAGAATATACATACACTATAGTTCGTAGTACTACAGTTTGAAACAATAGTAGGGAGCGGGGGGTCCTTCCAAATTATGTGTCTGTCGCTGAGAACCAATTCTATCAGAGTTACAAGAGTTGTAGGAATTTTTCTACAGTTTTTACATGATTTCGCTATTGATGGTCAACATTCATTGAAAGTGACTAACCCAACAAACCTCAGGTGGCAATGCAGGTTGCAGCCTGTTCTTATTAGAGAACTTAGCTGTAGAGCCACCATATAGCCACCAGGGGTGTGACTAAGAGGGACTCTCCTTAAAAGAGTGGAATTCCTCTTCTCTCTCTTGTCTCTGCCACTGCAGTCAAACCTTGATTATCCGGACTCGGCAGGACTAGACAAAATACTAGGGATAAATTATGGAGGTTTGGATAATTGAGGATATGAATATCAATAAGGAACAGAAACTGATTAAATTGAGAAAGCAATATTTAATCATGAAACAAAACATTTACAAATTCTTTTGAAAAAAATATAGTCTACTTCACTGACCAATTATGGCTTACAGTTTCTTCTGCTGCTGAAAGTCTTTTTGGATGCTTAGCCTTCTTAAATTCCATGACAATTTTTTAATTACTCAAGCCATCCTGTTGAAGCTCTAAAGTCACCATCTGCAGAATCTCTGTAGCTGGCTGTAAATGTGTTAAGTTTCTTTATCTTTTATGGAAAGAACAGATCGCTTATGCTTCAACAACATTGTTATTTTTATAAAGAATATGGCTACAGACAGATCTTGATTAATAAATATTCATGACAAAATGGGACCAGAGAAAAAGCTGGGATAATCTAGAAATTCAGATAATCGAGGGCCAGATAATCAAGGTTTGACTGTACCCCTCTACATCACATGGTCTAGGAAAAGGCCCAGATGAGCTTTGGGAAAAGGGTTTCTTCTGCATATTTCACTCAGTTAATAAGAAAAAGGGAGCTTGGGAGAAAAGTGTTTTGCTTTCAAATAAAAAAAAACACTGGCAAGACTTTTCCTTAATGTAGTCACTGAAACGATTTAATTTAAAACATTGTGCAAATGGTTTTAATCACTGGGAGTGACAGTCAATTAAACACAGGATACGTGAAGAATGTCAAGCTCCAAGGCGCTAGCCTAAAATTTTATAAAATCTTAATTGAAATTGCTCCGCTCTTCCATCCAATGTGAAAAAGAATACTTGAACTCTTACTTAATCGGTTGTCTCACCAGTGAATGGTTATAATCAGGTTTTTTTATCTTGCCTAATGTGAACAGAGTGATTGTCTAGGTGAGGGTAGTCCTGAAAAAGATTGTTGATAACATTCAAGGTAGACACTTATCACTGAGAGTTCCTTAGGGTGACCTTCCTCCAGGTTATCAGTTGATCAATTTGTATAAACACACTCAAGTCAATGATCTGCCCTTTTAAGTTTGTTTTTAAATGATTGTATCGTCAATATCCTCCTCATTTTGTCAGCTCAGCTAATTAATATGTACCTAAACATGTAATCTCCCAGTTAATACTTTGCCTTGTTTTTAATGAAGGCTATTAAATTTTAAATGGAAGTGATGCACTTCTTTATCATTATCCACCAATCCTAAATTGAAATGCAATGATGTGAATGATAATGTTAAGGACTAAAACGTACCTTTCCTATTTGTTAAAATTTTACTATCAAAGTAAAACTACATACGAGTACAACTTACTTTGGGCTGAAGTCTAAACTTTTTCTAATTTACTTCTAATTTATATCTGACTTGACCACATCTCAGACTCCTTTGACATGATAACCAACTAAATTTCTTCAGCAAAGAAGGGAGGTTAGTGTTCCCAGTTTCAACCTATTCACAGACTTGACTAACAAGTGGTGATAATTTTACTAACTACTTATAACCTTAAACTGGCTTTTTTCAGCAAGTGGACTTCTTAGGAAAACAGGAAATTTTGGTATGGTGCATATCTGCAGGGTGCAATTCCTGAGTGAGTTTAAAGGCTGTTTGTAAACATTTTTCCAGTGGATTGTCAAGTTCAGTTTCTAAAGGTAAATTTGATCTCCTTAAATTTTTCAATCTACGGATGTAAAACCTAAAATAAATTTTGATATGAATCCTTCCTTCAGTGTGTAATTTTTGACAAAAGGATGATATTATACTTCTAATACTGATAAGAGTTCAAGGAAATTAAATTTGAACCAATGATGAAAGTCAATCACACCATAATCTTAAATTATGTGACGATCATGTTTTACCTGATTTTAGGCAGAGTTATGATATTCATTCCAAAAGCTCAGTGTTGTTAATGTCCCAATGCAATAAAAAGATGTCTTCTTGTATTTTTAACTACATTAGGTAGAGAATGAAGAACTCTGCTCCCTCTGTGGTGTTTATACAGGTGTTGAAGTCCATCCTTGCCGCGTCTGTTGTAAAGTATTTCATGAGCTCTGCTTAAAGAAGAAGGGTAAACTGTATGGGAAGACAGAATTGGAAGCCTTCAGAAAAGCAAATACGGACAAAGGATGGAGTTGTCATGACTGTGTGAGCCTCCATTTATATTTTACAGTGGCTATGTAGACATTAATATTATTAGACAAGTAGATTATGAATCCTGCTAACATTAAGGCCAAACTTACAGTATGGCTTGGATTGTTTTTTTGTGCTCCTGACTGACCAATTCTTAACATATCTCTTTGCAATCATAACATAGACAATGGGAAAGTATGGCTGGATTATCTTCACTACAATTGGAAACTGGAACAAACGTCTTAAGGTGGCTGAACACAGATTTTGATACCTGTGTTTCTTTCACCATTTTCTCTAACACCCTTGATATTTCAGTTGCCAAAACTGGCAGCAAGCAAGTTAACAACACAAACTTTGTTTTTTTTCTATAGTTAAGCTGACCTATGTGCCCTTGCCATGGTGACATGCCAGAATAAATATAAACAGGCCTTTAAAATTGGTTTTGTGTATTTGTAGAAAATCTAGTCATTAGATTTTCTTTATAATTTGCATGGAACGAGCTTGTAACAATACTCACAAGTTAACACCATTTTGCTAACAAGTTAACAGAGAGATCTTTAATTATCCCTTGTTGAAGGTTCACTCGATTATCTAGCATTTCCTTTGTTAAAAATCAATTTTTTTCAGTACTCCAGTTACTTATTTCCTAAAGTATTTTCGTGCCAAATTTCGTGGAATTCTAATGAGTGGTTCTCAAGAAAGGGATATTTCCGAGAAAGCAATTTTCCATTCAATCGCAATTTTTTGACTTACTACGCATGCGCTGCATTTAACTAGGTTCTTTCGGTAACAATGAAAAAGCTGAGAATTGCGGGGTTCTTTTAACTTTTCTCACATGTCTTTGTAATAAAAGATTAAAGCCCTCAATACACTATGCCAACTAGAAGAGAAAAATAGCACAGATAGTGCAGATACATGCTGAGTAAATAAAATGATCGCTCTATTGACAGCATGTTTGTTTTTTGCAATCCTTGAGCGTGCACTGAACTGCATCAGCAAAAGCGAGCACAAAAACTGTGTTCAGCCACCTTAATTCAGCCACCTTCCACTGGGAAGTTACAGAAGGCTTAAAAAACTCATGACAGCAAGAAATAACAATGATACTAAAACAGATATACCGGTAGATATTGATGCAAATTACAATTTAAAATACCTTTTGTAGTACTACTGTGTGTTTTCCTCTCACTTCCCAACAAGGCAAGTGACAAGATATCATATTGTAGATATTGCAAGATATTACACTAAACCTTGACAGTCTTTCACTCACCTAGTGTTACCGAGTTAAACAAAAAAAGGAGGCAAATGACTATAAAAATTCTGGCAAAGTTTTCATGCAGCATTGCATCAGTAAAAGAGATCAAGCCTGATTTCCTACCTCTAAAATAAAGGCATACTTCATTCAAGGAAACAAGATCAAATTTGCTTTTGTTCATTGAAGGACCAAATTTGTTCATCCACTACTTCAGCACTCTGAAACAGTATTCTGGAAACATCCTAGTTGGTTGCTATATGATTTACATGTAGTTGATTGTGGGACCTAAAGTTCTCTAAATTTTTAATAAATTTTTCGTTGCCAAGGCATATAAGCTCACTTTTGTCATTCAATGCTACTTAATGTATCAATTCTTGGCAAACAAACTTTGTGCTTCATTAACCTTCTGTTGCCATGGATACAAGTATGTTCTGCATAAAGAAATGATCAACATTTTGAATAAGCACTCACTAGTTTGTTTATTTTTTTATTCTTTTTCAAAATGGATGGATTGCTATACAAAGCTGACTGTCATTTTGAAACACCAATGTTGGCAGTATTGGGAGAAAAAACAATCTTATAGTAGACTTCATCCCTTGACAACTTTGCCCAGTACAAGAAGATATTGTCCCCTTACTAGCCAGTTGTACTATGTGTTACTGGTGTCTCAAAATTGCAATTGGTATATTTCGTGATATGAGTCAATGAGTTATTTGGGGTTGAGAGGTTTTAGTAAAATTAGCACATATCCTTTTATAAAGGAACAGGTTTATGCCTATCAAATTGTAGATAACTGATACATTACCTGGGTGTGAACTTACAGTTCATGTGTCATGATATTATATGTTCATAACAGAAGTGATTCTTCTACTTACCAGGAAAGTTTAACATCTCTATTAACTGATGAAGAAATGCAACAATTGATAGAGAATTTTGATAGGCTTGTCAATCAAGGTAAATATATTGATGTGAAATTTCATCATGAGAATTTTTGCAAGGATCATTATTCTATAGTAAAGAATCCTTGAAAATTATTATGGAACTTAAACAACCCAGTGTCTCTAGCAGACAAAAGTTATTTCAAACATAAAATTCAATGTTAGTACCTGGGAAAATGGAAGAGGTCTAACTTGGGTTTTTATGCCAGCCATTATGAGTTCTAATAACTGCATTATTTTATTGCTGTTTGCATTTGCTGACACAATGAAATTTTTTATACTCACCTACAAAATTACATACCTGAGGGAATGTTACCATGGATGTGAGGGATTAATAGGGGGAACTGAAAAGCTATTCAAGGCAGATATCATTTCTTTTCAGTTTTATTCACTACTGTAACACTAGAATTGAGACTACAAGTTCTGCCAATATTTACAAATTTTTAGTTGCCCATTCTGCTTTATAGCTTGTCAGGTGGTTATTGTGTGAGTATTAAATTAACATAATATAAAGTGAGCTTCCAGCTAACCATTGACCCATTGAATTCTCCCTAGACACACAGATAAATGAGGATGAATATGTTCGATACCAAAAAATCCAGTACAAAGACATTCACAAGGAACAAATGCCAAGCTACATGGAAGAAGAGACACGCAATGAGGTAAAGGGAGCCAGCAGTGATGTAACAAACATTTTTGTTAAGCAAATACTTTTTTATAAAAATCATGCTGATAATTATTACATGCTTTTATTCTTGATTATTTAATCTAGTATCAACATGATTTTTATAAGAACTGGAGGAATCAATAAAGGGGGTAACAAGGTAGTCTTCAAAACTAATTTTGTCATTAGATTTTAATTATGAGATGCAAAATGCTGGCCTTTATTTTCACAAGCAGAACTGGATGAAAAGTTTAATAAACAGAGTAAAAGAAAGAAATTTTTCCCACCAAATGCTCTTATGCATTATTCATTTACAAACTTTTCATGCAGGCTTATTGTAGTCAGCGTTTGCTGAACAAGACCAAATAGAATTATCTTAGATCTTAGTCTTAAACTGATCACTCAATTTTTTTTTTTTTTTTTTTTAGTTTAAACAAATAGACAAGGATCATACTGGTACAATTGACTGGTGGGAATTCCTTAACCATGAGGCTCTTAAAAGTATTGCAAAGAACAGGAGTAAGGTGAGAAGGCTGGGAAACATTTCAGTTGGTACCCATATTACAAATTGTCCTCTGCAACACAGTTCTTGGAATGTGACATTTAAGCTAGAAATGGAGTAACGAGACAACAGTTTGGACTTCTAATGATCTTTAGGTCAAGTTTCTATGTTTGATGCAAGAATTATGATAGATGATATTGTTTCTAGTGTGATGTGATTGTGTGATTATGTTTTCAGTTTCAGCTAGTAAGGATGTTATCACCCATTGAGATACAGAAGGCCAGAGATATTTTCCATGCATTTGATAAGGATGAAGATGGCTACATCAATTCCCATGAGGTAGCTGTGGGGTTTACCAGATGGTTTGGCAACTTGAGGGTATTTGACCACAGCAATCCGAGAACAGGGTAAGGCAGTTGTTACCTATCTAACAAACAAAGAATTTCTTGAAACTTATCACTAATCTAAACAGGTGTTTATATTGCTCTACCCAGGTGCAGCATTAACTATTTTTAATTCCTTGTGACAAATTACTCTAATATGCACTTAATTTTTTTAATCCTTTCTGGAAGCTATGTTCCTAAAAAAAAAAAACAATAAGTGAGATGTACTTAAAAGTGATGTTTGTTGCAAATCAGAGGTGGAAGTAGTTCATTTGGAAGACCTCTTGATCCAAAGGATGTTTCAGGGCACATTGATCGCCACTCAAGGATGTTCATGGATGCTGATACTGATAATAACAGGTACGGAATATAATCCCATGTACTCTTTTGTCAAGCCAGACAACTCAGTGATTCCCCTTTTTGCACTGTTACTGTTTACCAGTGTACTGGTACGTAAGATTCTGACACAGATCAGGGGGGCAAGTGGTGTTTTAAGGTTTTTAAGGTGGTCATTATTGTTTTGGCAAGATTCACCCTGTTAGTTACGGAAACTTTTAATTGATTTCACAAGACTGAAATGACATAGCCTTTGTGGATAAGATAATATTTCAGGTTACGAATGTCCTGATTTCTTCCTTTGGCACATTCATTTAGGGCTGCCATTATTTAATGTGTACTAAACTGTCACTGTGTTCTTCAAAAAAAGTAAAATGTATTCTCTCCTGTAAATGGCTCTCTGTAATTTCTGCTTAAACAAGTTGAAAAGAAGAACCTGGAAATGTTGCCTTTTTGTGTGCCAAACATTCATGTCAAATGTTGTGGCCCAATTTCTATTTCGATGATGGAACCATAGAAGCGTCAGTTAAACACAGAAAACAAATCTACGCAATCCACAAGTTTAAAAATTAAATTGCAACCTGTGGTTCAATCAGGGGCTTGTTGGAGGGCTTAGTCCTAAAATCACTTGCTTATCATTTGGATTGTCTCTATGTTGTAATCATTGGCAATGCATTACGTTATTTAATTTGTCCCTTCTGAAATATTTTGTTTACAATTGCAGACTGGTTTCTTGGGATGAGTATTTAAGAGAGCAAGCTCTGTATATTTTAGCTGCCAGACCAAATATCTAGTTGCTAGTGGTCAACAACAGACTCACACTTAATCCAGTGATACAGTCTGTTGCCCAGTCTCCAGTCAGTTCAAACTGCAGTCACTTTTACTTCTGGTCTGCACATGAAAGATTCTATTTTTCTTTTAATATAATGAAAATCTTTGCAAAAGTTTGAATTTAAGTTTCCTAGTTTTCAACCAACTACAGTAATTTAAGACTTTGCCTTCATTACACATTCACTTTGTGTTTTCGTTGTTTGGAGAAAATCAATATACCTGCCACTCAATGCATTTGCAATAATTTGTTTTTTGTTTTATATGCACAAAGTGACATGATAGCAACTGTACTATCTAATGGGTTTTCATTCCAAGGGGTGAAGGCTGAGGACAACTACGCATGACACAACTCATTCAGTTCTTTAAAATCTATGAATTAAAATACTTTTTGAGCACTGTACCTTTTAGTGATGGGAAATAGACAGGGAAAAGTTTAATTGTCTTTATATTAATTTATCACTTTTGAAATTGAATAACAGCTACAATCTAGCTAGTACGTGATAACAGATTTCCTAATCACTTTCATCTTTCATGAAAAAAATTGTCACTCCTTGGGTTTCTCCTTTTTGTGCTGTAGCTTAGGAGTCCAACAAAAAGGGCAAATATTAGGGGCTTAACTTCTGGACCAAAACATACACACACAAAAACTGATTATGTGATTGCTGGAATATTAAGAATTTTTTGGAATATTTCTTTGTACATCAATTAAAAAGCCAGTAACTTTTGGCTGAAGACAGGGGAACACACTATAAGTTGAATGACTGGTGTGCAAAGTTACTGTTTTCGAAAACTACACAGTGCCTGAAAAAAACGAATTTGTAACTTTATAAGTAATTTATTTATAATAAAAGGTGGATGAATTGTCATGATACTGAAGTATATTGTTTGCTCAAACCATGTTTGCCCAGTCGACCAGTATTTTTCTCTTCTTATTCTTAGTCTTCCTCGAGGGTAAGATGCTGTAGTTGATGGGCCTCTAACAAAAATCCATATGACAGACATTCATTAAATTTGTGATTGAGTAGTCCTTCAGAAGAAGCTTTGGGAGATTGTCTCACTTAATGACACTCAAGTGTCTACTGACTCTACCTGCTAGGAGGTTTAGCCAGTTTGTTCCCATACCTGCTAGGAGGTTTAGCCAGTTTGTTCCCATAGGTAATTAGCTCATGACCATGTTTATGTTCTAAGTTGATTATTTTCTGCTTAAAACTTTGATTTTCTGCCACGAAATTGACTACTCATTATGCAATATAAAATGGATCCGCTCTGAGCCATTAACTTTAATAGGTAAACACAAATTTGTGGATTTGGCATATGGCTAAGGTCGGATAAACAGCAAACCAGCTTCAAAGCTAGTTGGTTCAATGTAGCATCTTAAATTAAGGCATGTTTTGCACCGTAGAAAAGTTTTCAACTCTTCAGAGGAAAAAGATTGCAGAAATGCGAAAAAGCAAGTGGAAAGGAAAACTTTTTATCGGACGAGTGTTTTAAACACATTGAGAATTGAATTAGACCAGAAACTTGAGTGCCTGTTCACTGCGTGGAAGAAAAGATCTTGCGATCGCGTGTCCTGTTGCAGGGTTTCCATAATTTGCAAATTGACGACTAGCCCTATTGAAAGTGGGAAGATCTAAAAATTTCCCGTATGTTTTCAAATTGACCGTGTTTCTAGTTCTCCTAGCGTTAGCCTAGCTATTTGGGAGTATAAGTTCCAAGTTGACAAGGCTCTCTGACAAGCGTTGAAAGACACTGCTGTGATTCCTTTTAGGTTATTTCCCTCCTTCAGAGGCCGAAAAATGGTATTTTCTTTTATTTGACTAAATTGAAGTCAAGCGTTCCGTTTCCAAGTAGTTTTCAGATGTAGTGCAAGTAGCTTGCTGTTCTTCGGTTATTGTACCCCTTTCTGTAGTGCTGAATACTCTTTAGAGAACGCCCTTTTTTGAGAACTTCTTGTGACAAAACTGGTGGCATCCTCAATCTCTTGGGATGTGAGTTCTCTGGTATCTTTTTTATGACCTTTACCTCTGCAGTTGCTGATAAAACAAAGAATCGATGCGTGGACTGGTATCAGCCCCATCCAACTTGAAAAGTGCTTGAGACTAAGACGCCATGATTGTTCTTCGTCAAAGATAGCCATCATTGTTCAATTTCCTCTTTGCTGATTAGCTTGTGTTGAGCATATTTGATCTGCTTTCTTGATTTCCGCTTCTTCTTAGACTGTTTCTATGTCCACGTGATTGACGGGCCAATTTGATTCTTCTTCTAGCCATGGCTAATTAACTACAAAAATAAAAACGAAAAAAATTACATTTCAACGAAATGCTGAGAAACACAAAACTTAAAAGAGCAGCAAGTTAAATATCCTTAGCACTGCCCTTGAGGGTGGAACTTATTAAATAATTCGACATCTCCATAAAGCTTTTGCTGCTTGGTTATGATGTACAATAACAATCGATAACACCCTACAGAAACATCACACCATTATTAACTATGATCACACCTACTAATATATAGATTTAGCCAAGCCTAAAGGCGGAGCTCGCATTTTTTTTTTTGCACGTCTCAAGGGCACGACGCCTTGCCTTATATACTGGGTAACTGTATGGCTGTATGGTGGCCCTATTGCTGTAATAGCTTTGCGTGTGGGTTTTAGCTTAATATAATTCTTCTAATTGTACTATAGAAGGGTGTATGTGTGTGTGTCTTTTTCTCTTCTTTTACTACTTTCCAATTTTTTCTCTTAATTTCTATTTTTTTTTTTTTATGTAAACGTAAGAAAATGCCTTAAATAAATTTATAAAAAAGCAAAACAACAAAAACAAACAAAAAAAACAACGCCTTGCCCCGACCAGGACTCGAACTCGGGTCGTCCGACTCGGTGATTATCACCATCGACTGGTGATTATCTCTGTGCTCAATGTCACTGGTTGGCGACATGTCATTGTGTAACAGTCTACTGTGGTTGCTCTTGCAGTTGTTCACTCCATGACTGGTTTGGGTTGGAAAAATCAAGTGGCAAAATGTTGACTCCTGCAAATGGAAGAGGAGATGCATGATGTAGAAAGACGCACACACCAAAATGCGCTTCATTCTAACCATATATCGATATTTCACAATCATTCAAATGTCAATCAAAGCCACCGGAAGTGGCATAGATTGTAAGAAAGGCTGATAGTTTCTAAAGAAACTGTTTTGGGGCTGTGTTGGTGGGGGTAACGAAATAATTTCAATATATAAACAAAGTTGAAATGGTAAATTGGCCACCGTTAAGATTATAAAAGCTGACGTTTCGAGCGTTAGCCCTTCGTCGGAGCGAATATGTGGGTTGTGTGTGCTTTTAAAGGCAGAAAATGGAGCTACGTGATTGGGGGGAACATGGCAACGAGAAAAACACAAATAAATTAGTGGAATGAAAAGCGTTCGTTGATACCTGTGGGATTTAGACTGCCGGTTTGAAAGATGAGCTTTTGTTCAAGAGTTTTACGGCTTTCCGTGTTACCTAAGTGTAAGGAAAGACCGCAGATTGCCACATGTTGCTTAAAATGATTAGGTAAATTAAAATGTCTAGCGACTGGTTTCGATGTGTCCTTGTCATTCCTCTCCACGTCGTTAAGGTATTCTCGGAATAGGTCACCTAGTCTTCTGCCTGTTCTTCTGCCTGTTCCTCTGCCGATGTATTTTTGCAATAAGTGCAAGTTATGCAATAAATTACATTGGCGGAGGTGCACGTGAAGTGATCGGTGATCTTAATGGATCGTTTGGGTCCCGATATTTTCTCAGTGTTGTGAATGAAAGGACACGTTTTGCATCGTGCACGGGCGCATTTAAAAGTGCCTGGTTGGTCATTAGTCTGAAAAGAACTTCTGACCAAAAAATTTCCTATGTTTTTGTCGCGTTGGAACGTTCGTATCTGGGTGAGTCCCTTGAAGACTTCTCATCTTGGGGCTAGTTTCTCGTATCATTTTGCATATTTTAGCTATTAGAGGCTTATAACGATTACGTCTCCAATTTATTAGATTCCACAACAACATACCCTGGGTAAGCGTTTCTGCTCGTTTATTAAATCAATGAAAATGGACAATGTGAGAATCTCTCCATTGAAAGAAAACGGGACGGGAGAGGCTGTGCAGGACAGCAAAAAGAAGGCGAACCTCTTATCAGAACACTTCAAGTCAGTCTTCACTCAAGAAGGTCTCGAGAACCTCCCATCTCTCTCTCTCAAGCCTCTCCCAACATTTCTCCATTACTTTATGACACCGCCGGAATTGCTAAGCTGTTAAGTAATCTCGCCGTCAAAAAAGCCGTTGGCTCAGATCATATCCCCTGCTGGGTATTGAAAAATGCAGCTCAAGAAATCGCCCCATTCCTGCAATGATTTTTTCTTATTATCACTGCAGATTGGGGACGTCCCCGTTGACTGGAAAAAAGCAAACGTACATGCAATCTTAAAAAAAGGAGACAGGTCACTCGCTTCGAACTATTTATAGGCCCATCTCCCTTAACTCTGCTTCCTGTAAGATCATGGAACGTATCATATTTAGCCACATTATGACTCACCTAGAGGAGTTCAAGATTCTATCCGATATCCAACATAGTTTGCGTAAATCTCATTCGTGTGAAACCCAACTACTCATCACCCTCGAAGATCTTACTAAAAACCTCGATCGAGGCAAACAAAGCGATGTCATCCTGTTGGACCTTGCCAAAGCTTTTGACACCGTCCCACACCAAGGTCTTCTGCTCAAGCTACGCCATTACGGCATACAAGGCTCAATCAATAAGTGGATTCAAGCTTGGCTTTGTTATAGGGAACAATCGGTCTTGGTGGAAGGAGTCAAATCAACGCCTGTTGAGTTCCAGTTATGTCTGGCGTTCCGCAGGGCACTGTACTTGGCCCCTTAATATTTCTTATTTACATTAACGAGATAGGTGCAAATATATTAAGTCCCGTATTTGTCTCTTCGCCGATGATACTCTATTATATGCAACCGTGAGCAGCAAGGATGACGCCAATATCATACAGCAAGATCTTGACAGCTTAGTCGCCTGGACCAATCCCTGGCAAATGTCCCTAAATCGTGACAAATATAAGATCTTGAATGTGTATCGATCTAAAAATCCAATCATCTATGAATACACATTGAACGGGGTTCCACTGGAATCTGTATCACCATCCTTACGTGGGAATTGAATTGTCTTCCAATCTGAATTGGAGCTGTCATTTAGAGAATTTATAGGGAAGGTTAACCGGTCTCTTGGTTTCATCAGACGTAATCTTTATTCCTGTCCAGAAAGTGTTAAAAGTTAGGCATATCTCACCGTCGTCTGCCCATATCTAGAACACGTGTGGGACCCACATAATCAAAAACACTATCAAGATATTGAAGGAGTTCAGCAGCGAGCCGCCAGATTCGGGAAAAACTGCTATATGCGCGAACCCGGTACAGTTACAAACCTCCTGAACGAGCTCAACTGGCACTCATTAGAACTGAGACACAAAATTGCAAGACTTACTACCATGTACAAGATAGCGATGAAAAAAAAGCGCGTGCTTTAAGTATTTTGCGTTGCGAACTAGAGTGGTACCGTTTGAAACATTGACAACGCTGAAAGTGTCCCTCCCTTGAGACTTAATGATAACATGCTTAGCCGGAGAAAAGTTCGAATCTAGCCTGTTCGGCTTCATGTTCGCACAAAAGACAACATCGCCGACGCGAAAGTCGTGCGGGGTCGCGCGCTGCTTAGCATCGTGATAACTCTTTAAACGGTGTTGATACGATTCGCATCCTGCCCGATGTTCTCGATCGAGTGCTATATCAGCGTCGAGTGCAATGTGAGGTACCTTCATGCGGATTTCTCCAGTAAACAATA